CTATTCGATATGTATGTGACTTGTATTTAGTGACAGATAACTGACTTGTTTGAAAATGTGACCGACGTTTCACCCATTGTGATTTCAATTTGGGCACATATATACTGTATTTTATGTGATAACTATGTGTCTTGCATTTGATTTCAAAATTCTGAGTTATTATGAAAATGTGACCTGATACATATAACTTTCATCTCGAGGCAGTATTGATGTTAATTTTAGTTTGCAGAAATGGTGTACTTGCACATATGTTTGATAAATGGATCTCAATCATCATTGGCGTTGGTGGAGTTATGTACGGCTTGTGGACACGGTTATGAGAGAATTTGATCTGAATCCCATGAAGGTAGCAGTCTCATTGAAGTATGTGTTGAATGATGACTTGCCACCAATCAGGATAAAGAATGATAACAATGTCCTATCGTACATTCTACTAAAGGATATGGAACATGAATCTGCCAAATACCCATTATTCATTGATGTTACAAATATAGAAATTGATAATACATCTATCATAATGTCAATTAATGTACATTCTAGTGGTGAGCTGTGTACGTTGCAGGACATGGCATCAGACATATGCGAAGCATCAATTAAAACAATGGATCACATATGTGACACTGAAGTCACAGTTGTATCAGTAGCTGATGCTAGTGAGGTAGAAGAAGAAAGGATTTTTCATGATAAGAATATTTTGAAACTGAGCATGTCCCTTTTCGCCATACAGAATATGTTTGAGTTTATGGTTGAAAGGTCTGATAAGAAAGAATATGTTGTGAAGTGTTCACATCGTGGATGTAGTTGGATATGTAGATCGTCAAAGTGGGGTAAAACAAATCTATTTAAGGTTCGGAAGATTGGTAGTTACACATGTCCATCAAATATAGTGTTGGGGTCACACAGGCAAGCCTCAACTTCAATTGTGTCATCTACCATTAAATATAAATACACATCATCACGTACTATATATACTCCGAAGGATATATGCAGTGATATGTTACATACTTATAGGGTTTATTTGAATTATTCGAAAGCTTGGAGGTCTCACGAACAAACTTTGAGAATGATTAGGGGTGATCCAGCTGAATCATTTGGTAAGATACTAAGCTTCTTCTACATACTCCAACAAAAGAATCCCGGCACGATCACAGAACTCGAAATTGATAGTCACAATAGGTTCAAATATTACTTTATGGTACTTGGTGCATCAATACAAGGATGGGAGCATTGTAGACCTGTGGTTGTGGTTGATGGCACTTACTTGAATGATCATTATGGAGGTGCCCTTTTCACAACGTGTACACAAGATGCAAATAACAGCATATATATTCTTGCTTTTGGAATTGGAGACAATGAGAACGATAAATCTTGGAGATGGTTTTTGGAAAACTTCAAAAAGGCTTATGGGCACAGAGACGGTTTGTGTTTTGTATCGGACCGTCACATGAGTATAAAACACGCAATAGAATATGTATATCCTGGGACTTCTCATGGTATTTGTACATATCATTTGTTGCAAAACTTGAAATCATACTATGGGAAATCTTGTGAAAACATTACACAAGCATTCAATTCGGCTGTCCGTGCTTATATATTGGAGGAATTTAAATATTACATGCGACGACTGGACACAATGAATGAGAAGATTACTGGTTACCTGGTAGTGTACTATATCTGATGACATTTTCACATACATAAAAATGGTCACATATGTTGGTTATATAATATCAATTAATAGGCTTTGTGTTTGCAGGCAGATGTTGGAATGGAAAAGTGGTCATGAATCCATATGCCAGCAAACAGATATTCTGCAATGACTTCGAATATTGTAGAATCAGTCAATGCTGTGACAAAGGCAGCCAAGAATTACCCTATTGTATCGTTGCTAGAGTCATTGCGGCAAACTGAACAATCTTGGTTTTGTAAACATAGAGATGACTCACATGAAACTTTTATGAAATTGTCAAGCAAGTACAAGAAGGAGATGAGGAAAATAAGTGTAGAGTTGAGGGTAACTTCATTACTCTGACACTAAAATTCATGTGTGCGACTCACCATAAATGTATGTGACATGAGTTGTACATCTGTGATAGAAGATATTTGTATGCACTATTTACATGCGTGATCTGGACCTAAGCGTCTGCAATGAATATAAATGCATGTGACCTGATATATTAACCTGTGACATAAGATATATGTCTGTGACATATTTATAATAAATGTGATATGATACTACAACTGTTTTTACATTCTCTCAGGTATCTCCCTCCAACCGGTCAGTGTTTTCTGTTAGCGATGAAAAGTCAACATTTGTTATTGATATTGAACAACGTCCATGTACGCTGCAAGTTGATTTGATACCGTGTCCACATGCCTTGGCTGTAATTGCAAATACAAGGAGATATTCATATGCTTACTGTTCTTATTATTGCACAAGAGATGCTTATTTGAATACATACCAATATTCTACATATCCTGTTGGAAACCAAAATGAATGGACAGTGCCTGAAAAAGTACAAGCCAAAATTGTGTTAACTCCTAACCAGAAGAGGAGTTTTGGAAGACCTACTGAGAAGAGGAAGAGATCATCCAGAGAAGGGAAACCAACAGTGAAATGTGGTCGTTGTGGAGGAAAATGTCACAACCGTAGGAGATGCTCAAGTGTGGTTCCATTAAACTAGAATGACATGGGAAAGTAACACAAATGAAAATATAATTCAACCGATAATACAGATACATTATAGATATCTCATTTTTTTATTTCAAACATTCATTGAAATAGCAGAGTGAAATATACTTGTGACCATTTTATTTTCAAGTGCAATTGAGTTTCGACATCTACATAGTTGTTATGATAAGAAACAGTGACCTATGTTTGAATTCTGAAAATATTTGATAAGATGTGACCTGTTGTATGAGATACATATATGTGACTACTTCTTCCATTCGGACCATAAAATGTGACATATGTATCATAACACGTAATCTTCTCCAACAGACAAGTGTTCTGTGTCAGATGGGATACCTGTTTTGATTGAATTGTGTCTCATAACTACATGTGACCTGAGTTGTGAGACATGTGACTACCTTTTCAAAAAAAAGTGATATATGTAACTACATTCTCCATCAAATATAAATGAGGGGTGGTGTAACATGTGACTTGTGTCCTGTGTGGTTTAATATGTGACCGCCTCCAACAGAGATATGCCCTGTGTTGCATACTTGTGACCTGTGCTATATGACACAGGTCACAAGTACTGTGCTGTACATCATGTGACCTGTGTCATATGTGAGACGGAAGACCTGTGAAATGCAATGTTTTTGTCATGGAAAATATTGCAATGATATGTAACAAATACGATATTATGAGCAAAAACATGTTGCATTCGTGTATTGCAAATCAAAGCTTACGGAAACAAGTTAGTATTCAATACAATCAACTCCATTCGGTAGAAAATACTAATATTTGTAACATGTACAAAACTAAAACGTCAACTTCATTTACATATTTCAATCTACTTTCATTCTATGACAATCCCCTCCCCCGTTATAGGCTGCATCGCCTTCTTCACGTATATCTCCCGATGCTTGTACAGTAGTGTTGTAATGTCCATTCTACACTTGCTAGCATCAAATGTATGTGGAATGGACTCTCTGCCTTCACGGAAGATATATAACGCATATAAGATCATAGATATTCCACAATCGTGATTGCAAAACAACACAGGACAAAATGTTACAAATGAATTTTTTTTTAAAAGTTATACACATTGTACTCTTGGTCACAAACATTCTCATTCGTCTGCTGAGGTAAGGTATCATCGACAGTAACCTTCAATTCCATGCAATTGGGTTCAATATAATCGGGGTCCTTTTTTGATATTCCAAGATTATTCATTGAAGCAGCCAAGATTTTCACAAATGGCTCGATACCTTTTACAACTTTCCAGTCACGATAACTTTTGCCTGCCGAATTGAAAACTATCAACCTGTGACTTCTAAATTGTAACAAACCAAGCATCTAGTGAGCTTTGTTGGTGGACAGTAATGGCATGAGCACGTAGTCAACATCAGCCCAAGGTGTGCTCAAAGGAAGGTTGTCACCTGTTACAACTTTAATAAGACTAGACTTTGACATTAGAACATTGGGATCATTCAGAAAAATAGGGTATATGTCTTTGATCTTATTTTGAAACCAGGAATCAGTTGTTGTGGCTCTAAGCTTCACTTTGTCGCCAAGTTTTGCTACCTGGCGAATGTAATAAAAGCATGCATCCATGTGCTGTTTCAATACAAAGGGAAGAACTCAGTAATGTGGAATGTAACCTGTTTATATGAACCATGTATCTGTGATCTGTGACTATGAACTATGGACAGTAAGCTGTGACTATGGACTGCAATTTGTGCACATTAGGTAATAACTGTGTGGTGTGATCTGTATATACATTCTATGACTAATTAGCAATGAAAATATGACCTATATGAGTAGAGTAATGTAATCATACCAAATTGGTCAAAGATGAGTCTGAATTTGTAAGTTGGTAGAACCAGGACTTATGACCTATTGGGCGTAAACCAATAACAAAAGCAAGATTGATTCTACCATCTTCATCGCTAAATTTTTTCCTGTGACCAATATGGAGAAGTAAGTTATTGTGTTACAACAAGTTATTGATATAAATTAACAAATTTATACGAAATAAACATACTTGGTTCTTGGTTTGTACCCTCTCTGGAACGAAGCCGTGAATGTTGAGCTATCAACTTCATCAACACGACCTTTGTAATTTTCAAAAACAACAGTATCGTCATGCTTGAATAACTTTCCTTCTCCAGCCACAAATGGAGACTGCAATATTTTCACAGGCCTTGAAACCCGTTTAACTAGCAGTTCAGAAGTTGGTTCAGTAGTAGTTGTGTCCTGCATAATGTTGAAACATGTCACAGATTACTTCATGCACATTTATTGAATTTAGCATGCAGCATATAAACTCCAGTCTACCAGGAAATGAACTGTGACCTTAGAACTGAACTGTGTAAGGGTTACTAAGAATATGTGTAACCTGTGACCTATGGCCATTTACTATATATGCATTTTGTGAATCCTGAATTTGTGACAAGGCACATCTTAGTTTAGCATGCTGCACATGAACTGAGACCTATAACCATGTACTAGTTATGATCTGTGACGTGTACATCCAGCATATAAGTGTGATCTGTTACCTATGACAATTAACTAGTTGTGGACTACATGATGTTTGAATCTTGCAGTTATAAATACCTTGGTATCAACTGTTGTAATTGTTGTGACCACATCCGATATTACAGAATCGACATGCTTCTGAATGTCTTTAGAATGTAAAATGTCAGGTTGTGTAGATCCAACCCCCAAGCAAATGATGGTGCTTCGAGAATATGCGGCAGAACGATATCATCAGTTGGGTCCAGTTTGCCCTTTCCTTTCCTGTCCACAGTTGGTTCCTGTACACAAAATGAGAGAATGTTTTAAATGTCAAATGAAACTCTTGAACTATGTGGAAATGTAATGTAACTACCTCCTCGGTCTTATCAGACCCTCCAACAACCGGATGATCTTTATCTCCAACACTATGATCACTTTTTTGATGATCAAACCGCTTCATAATCTCATCCATGGAATTGGAAATCATTGTTGATACCGTTTCTAACAAAAATTGCATATTTGTCCTAATCTCCATCAAGTCACTTTTTATGTTAGATTGCATTTGAACTATGTAATTCATCTTCGTCGTTTGCTCAGCATTCACTGATGACATCTGAGACTTAATGTCATCAAGCTCCACATTCAACACTTCATTATAGGATTTCAGATCAGATATTTGTGACCTCAACTCCTTAATCTCCTGATAAAATAAATAAATTATTTATATGTGACTTGTGACCAAATAGAACCATATATTGCACACTATCAAAATGAATCTGTCACATGTGACCCAATCTACACCACATGTGACCTGAAACTATTGGTCTGTTACCAACAATAGAACGATTTGACAACTGACTAAAATAACAACTTATATGTGACTTGTGACCAAATAGAACCATATATTGCACACTGTCAAAATGAATTTGTCACATGTGACTCGATCTAAACCACATGTGACTCGAAACTAGTGGTCTATTACCAACAATAGAATTTTTTGACAACTGAGTAAAATAACAACTTACATCACCCCATTGTACCTCACGAGCCTGTTGTTCGATTGGAGAATGATGAGCAGCTGACGGGTAGTCTTGGGATGAGGATTTTCTAAGGGGAGATGTCTCCTGCCATATTGGAGGAGGATCAACAAAATCATCATCATCGTTGTCGGGAACACGAGCATGTCGAACACTGCTGTCTGTTAGCAGGAGCACTGATGGACCTGACTTCCCACTCGTACCAGCACGGTCAACTGACCTTTCTATCCTACTCTTATCTCTGCGGCTGTCTGGTGAGAACTTTGGTTGAACTGGCTTTTTGTACAGGACACCATTCATGTATGACATGGCCATTTCAGTTTTCGAGGGTTCCAGGTCACAAATCTCAATCTGTAGAACAATATAGATTAGAGAAATACAATGTCAATAGATAAGTACTAAGTACATAATGCTTACTGAAACTTTACATTAGGATTAGAGAAGCAGTCAAGTCCTTCCAACTTGGCAGCCGATGGTTTCTCGTCTGCAATCCAGTTTTTGATGCGGGGATGCATCCTTGATATTCGTGACACCACAACTCCCTCAAGGCTAGGAAAAGTCTCATATATCCAGACTTGAAAGGCTATCAACATACCTCGTAGCCTGTAGTGTGAGTTCCTCCTACTCAACCCGTCTTTAAATGCACTCAATGTAATTTCAAATAATAATTTGCCTCATGGAAACTGATTCATTGCAGAGAAATTCTCAACCAGCACGAATAGGAAGTTGTTAACAACTTTCTTATAATCTCTTAGAAATAGATATGCCGTGATGAAGTACATCATCCCAATCATAATAACATCAGTATCTGGAAGAGTTTCAACGAGATCCAAGTCCGGCATTTGGCAAGTAGATATGAAAGTGGACTTTACATTTTCGTGGGTTACACTATGCACTTGAGAAAAATATTTTGCCTTTAACCGTGACTCTCTACTTTCAAACACTTGTGTATCACTATCCCCAGAACACCTCAGCCCCGTGACTAAACAAAACTCCGAGATAGAGAACCGGACATATCGTCCTGACACATAAAACCACATTTCTTGGTCATTCGGGTGATGAACTTGCCGCAGAAGGAATTAGTGAATCAATTGCGGCTGTATAACAATTTCATGGCAATCCAAGAAATGAGCAAAACATGTGTCTATCAATACAAGTTTCTGTTGTTGGCTTAACGATGTCTGAATGGTGGTTAAAACACCCTTACTGACTGATGTTGTAATCTTGCCTGGAAACCAGCTCTCTTCTAGTATTTTGAATTCCCAAACCTGCTTTAAGTATAGACACAGTGTTAAATGCTTATATGAAAAATCACATTGACATACACGTTTTAACAAGGTCACATACATAAATGAAGTCTCACTGAAACTACATATTTATGAAATATTGGTGGAATTATAGTCACATTATGCAGATTCATAACACATACAGAAGATATCATGGTCACACGTTTGTAACACGATCACACATCACACAACATATTCAAAACAAATTCACACAACAGTCACAGGTACACAACCCATCATAGTCACATATTCACACAACACAACGTAGTTACAGTTACGTAACGCATCATAGTCACATATTCACACAACACTTTTGTAATTTAGATTGCTCCTCATGTAAACCATGAAAACAAGTCTATTGATCTTTCTCCGATTTCTGA